CGCTGTCACTTTTTCTTCTTTTTTTTTCTTATTTAAATGTAGTGTGGCGTTCCTCCCCACTCCAAACTGGCGTTCTCATCCCCCTTCACCCTTGTGCTAGGAATGTTGACCAGAGTCTGCCATATTGTTACACAGTCCTCTTTCCCTAGGTCTTATCAGAGTCTCCCCTTTGCCCCGTATAATCAGTCTGCTATCTACCTGGTTCAAGTATTTCACTCGACCCCTGCCACCCCATCTGTGCTACTCGAGGCGTTATTACCTTTCCCCTGCATCTGGGTGACTAATTCGAGGCTAAAGCCTCTGAGTAAATCTCATGGTCACGTGGACCACGTCTCTAGTAAGACCTACCGTCAACCAACTAGCTCCAGCCTCCGCCGCGTCTATCCTTTTTCTATCCCTAATACCAAGTCTATGACTTTCTATTCCCTAGTCTTATATGCCAACCCACAAACGTTGTGATTCAACATTGAACCTAATCAAAGCAAGCAGTACCACAACATTTGTGGGTTGGCACACAAGAGACTGAGGCACAGAGGCGGTGGCATGGGTCGAGTGAAATACTTGAACCAGGGAGATAACAGACGGATCATACGAGGCAAGAGGGAGACTCTGATAATACTTAGGAAAAGAGAACTGGGTAACAATATGACAGACTCTGATCATCATTTCGAACACAAGAGTGAAGGGGGTGAGAACGCCAGCGTGGAGTATGGAGGGCTCTCATAAATGCCACTCAAAAGGTAACGCCACACTACGCCTAAATAAGCACGGTAAAAAAGGATAACAGTGAAAGCGTGATACGAGGATATATGAAATGTGAATTGCCCAGGGCAGGTGAGATACCATAACTGTTTAGCACTCCTTTGGTCGAAAGATCGGTTTCACTTATCTCTTTTGACGAGTTGTAGTATGGTACTAAGAATGGCAAAACTCACTGACGATGCCGGCGAAACGTCTGGGAATGTACCACGTCCACGATCCGATTAGAAATTATAATGCTTACAATGGACTCCCGACTATGTGCTTTCCTCTAGGTCTTCCTGCCAATATGACCAATTTGCGAAAACAAGGTCAAACAACCTATATACAACGAAAGGAGACTGCGACCACACAATAGGCCACACCATCTTGGTCTTCATATCTTCGATTTTACTATATCTGAGGTTTATTTTACTTATATGGTTAGGAGCGAATTTTTTGAACTGCATACTCGGATTCATTAGGGCAAAACACTACCAAGAGATAAATTCTTGTATCATCCTCCACACTAGAGGAGATTCTTCACTAACTCATAGCATTAACCTTATCTTTCCTTGAAATAATAGTTCCATCTGGTTGGCTTATAAGTTGTATCTTCTTTTTTACAGGTCATTCCGCTGCTGTTCTTGACGTTGTTATTTCCTACGATGAAAGCGTCATGGCGTCAGCTGATGAAGGGGGTCAAGTGATACTTTGGCGCCGACGAAAGCGAGCCAGGCCAGATTTTGCACCTTAAAGATGAAAAATAACTTTAGAAGACGTTCACTTATCTATTATTCCATTGTCTCGTATCTCCGAAGTATTTTTCTTTTATATGCTTTTTGCCAATCCAAGTTTTACAGGTTCATCTTAGTCTAGCATGATGTTTCTTTACTATTTCCATTTCTCTATTACTCTGTGAACTAGTTGGTTAGTGTTCTCATGCAACAGATATACCCTATAGGATTTCTATTGGTTTATTGTGATGTTTTCACGCTGGTGGTGCCGATGGAGCTCTGCGCTTAAATTTTTAAAAATATTTGCTGTATTTTCTTATTCTGATGTTTATTCACCAAATTGGTCGATCTTTTTCCTTATGCCACTTAACAAACTATCATTGGTAAATTTCTCTTTCATGGTGATTAGAGAATTTAAGACTTGGATTCTACTTTTAACCGCCTTTTACACCGTTTATTTGCATTTAATTTTTTTTCATCGC